TGTTGTGTAAATAGCGGCAAACAAGCATCATCTTGTAGCAAATCTAAATTGTAAACTCCATCATCACCTCTCATTATCGTCCCAACATCCTTATTTCGAGTTGTGACAATTATTTTGCTTCCAGGTGATCCTGACATGAAAGGTCTCTTCAAGACATCCCACTGGCCATATTCCTTATTCCAAACATCATCCAATACAAGAAAAAACTTGCGCCCAGATAGCTTCGCTTTCAATTTCTCTTGAAGCAAAGCAAAATTTTCAAAATCACACTTTTCCCCTGTTACATGTTCTAAAATATTTCTTGTTATTCGAGGAATATCAAACTCATCAGAAACACAAACCCACACTTTCAAGTCAAACCTACCTTCCAATCTTTTGTCATTGTAAATGAGTCGAGCAAGAGTTGTCTTACCTAGTCCACCCATTCCAACAATGGGAATAACAAAGTCTTGTTCGAGACTACTGCCTCCATCTTTGACCAAATCAAGAATGGCTTCCTTTTCTCTATCTCGACCCCACACCTTATCTTCTAGAAGAGAAGACTCAAGTAGTCTTTCACTAGCTACTTTGCGAGGCTTATCTTCAGCTTTCATAGTCAAATTGATCAGGCCCAAAGTATGCATCTCTTTTTCTATTTGCTCCAATCTATCTTTTAGAGAGTTCACCATGGAATCAATTTCTTGATTGGTATTAGCCTTATTAGAGCTAAATAAACTCTTCACACTGGAGATGAGTCTTTGCCGCTTGCTAGGTCTAACTTCAGATTCTGCAATCAATTTGGACCCCTTTGCATCAATCACAAACTCTTCAAGTATGTATTCCATATCATAAGCCAAGTCCCTGAGATCATCAAGATATGACTTCACAAATTGGTTGGCAACTTGATTTTCTTCTGCATGTTGAAGTACAATAGTGATTTTGAGCAATAAAGTCTTCCAACTTTCCATCTGGGCACGTACTTCCTTGTTTGAATCCCAGAGTTGATCACTTAGATATCCTGTCAACTTTTCTGATAGCATGTCATACGTAGTAGATAAAAGAGAACTTCCAACAAAGGATAAAATCTCCATGGATGAAAAAGGTTTCCTGCAAAAGAGAGAGGAATGGATTGACATACATGTATGTAGTATGATCTATTGAATAGACACATACATTAGACTATCATCAAATTAGTCTTTTATCCTAATGGATAGATTTAATTAGTTTTGCTTGTCGATATTGAAAATAGCAAGATAAATCTAAGTATTATAGTGCTACGTTTGGTTAAATTGAGAATTAAGAAGGGCTTTCATATACCATAAGAATAAAATATGAAAGAAAGAATTTCAAATTTCTTTCTTAAATATGAGTTTTTTTTTTCCTTTTTTTTTTGGTCCATGAGATATTATAGTTTGATTAGAGAAATTTTGAGGATTTCAAAAAGGAGGCATTTTAAGAAAAGCATATAGTCTAGTATGTGTCAAATTACTTTAAAATACTTAAATTTTGACCCCTTAAGGTCTTTTTAATTAGAAAACATATATTATAAATTAAGTTTGATTTAGATCTTGAAAGAATTGAAGAAGTAATTAAAGACTAATTAGAAAGCAGTAGTAGTAGTAGTAGTAGTGTGTATATATATACACACACCTTAGTTAGCTAGTCTAAAGCTGCTTTTCCTTTCTCGATGATTGATGCTCAAAACTAAAAGGTTGTTGGGTCTTGCAAAGAGATTAATTAAATAAGCTTAATATGATGGAATATCTAGAAATTTGAGTCAAGCAAATGAAATATTGAATTGAAAAGATAATTAAAAATAGTAGTAGAAAGAAAATGTAATCATTATTATATTAATTAAAGATACCTTAATTAGAAAAAATTAGATGCTCTAATGAATTAAATGACGGTCAATAACTAAAATTTTTTTTAAAAAAATATAATTAAACAATACTAATTTAATCACCTAATTAATATTATTTCTCTAATTTGTTTAACTGGTATACATAGTGATTATCCAAGGTAAAAAAGAAGAGAAAAAAATCACATACACAAAGAAGCAACGATCTGAATTTATGTATACATATATCCGTCAAAAGATTGCAAAAAGCCAAAGAAAACATATAGGAAAATTAATTTTGAGTAAAAATGAAGTAGGTTGCTATATCTACAGCTAGGGATTAAGAAAAGATCGAGTACCTTGTCAATGCTCAAAGATGAAAGCGGGTGGAGAAATTTGCTGGAAATTAACTACAGAGATGGAAGAGTACGGAACACAAGAAGAGGATGCGAAATAATGATCTGGGAAAAAAAATTCCATCAAAAGATCAAAAAAAGCCAAAGAAAACACACGTAAAATGAAATATAAGTAAAAATAATATAGCTACAGGTCATAGACAATGACTATAGCTGGGGATTAGGAAGCGTACCTTCACTGCTTAATTTTTAGTTGACTTCTCAGTGCTCAAAGCTGAAAGTATGCAGGTGGAGAGATATTAATTTGCTGGAAAAATTAACTACAGAGATGGAAGAGTAACACAAGAAGAGGATGCCAAAGAGAGAGGCTCGGATGGTAAATACGAGATGGTAGGAGATGGATGAATTTTTGAGAGAGAATATTTGGGTTGGTATCAAAGAAAACGCGTGACCGTTGATTTCTGATTTCTTATTAAAATATCCAAGTAAAAGACAAAATATAAAAGGCGTCTTAAAAATGGAAAATGTAACCGTTGAAGGTCCATTGCTTGTAATTGTTGACGCAGGAAAAGAGAGAAAGAAAAAAATGAATTTTTTAACTTAAATTCTTGTATTTATTATTATTATTATTATTATTA